TAATCCAATTCTTTGAAACAACCCATTTTCCTTCAATAAGAGCTTTAATACTTGTCATGGTAAGTTTTGAAGATACAACTACATGAGTAACTTTATTAGAATAATTTACAGATATTTCAAATCCTTTTTTCATAACTTCTTCACTTAAAGATTCTCTTGTTTCTTTTGATATTCCAGAGAGATGAATAATAACTTTTGGACTATTTAAAAAATCCGGTTGTTTAAATAAAGCCAATCTCATTGGTGATGTCTTTAGTTCATTCTCTGATAATATAAATTCTTCTTTATTATTTGTTTCTTCTTCTTTAATTGGTTCATTTATTGAAATTGTATCAATATAACTTGTTTCAATTACACTTTTTCTTTCATTTATTTGATAATTTACTTTTTCAATTGATTTTTTCATTTCTTCAAATTTATAATTCATATCATCAAGTTTTTTATTATATTCTTCCATATATCTTTGTGTGGTAATTTCGTTTTGTGCTGTTTCTAATTGTTTAAGAAGAATAGATATTTGTTGTCTTGCCATTACTATTTCATTAACAATGTTATCTCGTTCTTTTTGAAAAATATCAATTTGTTGGTCTCTATGTTTTATTTGGGTTCTAAGGTCATCTAATTGATTTGTATGTGTTTGTTCTAAAAGATATATTTGTTGTCTTAATTGTCTAATAAGAGCTTCATTTTCTTCATTTTCTCTTTTAAGTAATATATTTTCTTCTTTTATTTGATGTATATTTTCTTCTTTTTTTTCGACAACTTCATGTTCTTTCTTTACTTCATCTAATTTATCAATTGTCTGTTGAAGAACATCTCTTAACTCATCATTCTCTTTTGTTAAAATACTTATTTTATCCATTAATCCTTGAAGAACAGGTGTCATCTGTTGCATATTATCATCCATCTCTTTATTTGCTTGAACCAATGCATCAATAAATGCCTGAGTTGATTGGAATGAATTTCTTTCCATTTCATTTTAACAGTTTTTCGTTTCTTTTTTATTTTGTTTTTTTTTTGTTTATTTTAAGAATAATTCCTCATTTTTTTTTGAATAAATGTTTTATGAAACAAAGAATAAAATATTAATTATAAATTATATATTAAAATTATAATTCTTTATTTGAATTTTAAATTGAATTAATTTATTTTGGTTAAAACAATAGCAACTCTGCAAGGAATATAAATTTGAATTTGATTTGGTAATCCATCACATTCAATTGGTTGAGAGACATATTCTTGAGAAGTAATTCTATCATATCCTCCAAATTCTGATGAATCAGAATTTAATATGATTTTATATGTTCCTGGTTCTTTTACTCCAATTCCATATCCTGTAAAACTCTTTTCATAATGGAAATTAAAAACTCCAATAACTTCACCTCGTTGGAAAGCTAAAACATGATCCCCTTCATTATGTTTTGAAATATAAGCATTTGGTTTATTTAACCATGGATATTGATCTTCTAAATGAAGCATTTCTCTCTCAAAAGCCAATAAAAATTTATATCTTAACAAATGGTCTTCAACCAAATTATATTGTCTTCTACAATAATGGAATGAATCACCATTTCCTTCTCTTGGGAAATCAAGCCATTCAGGATGTCCAAATTCATTTCCCATAAATGTCAAATATCCTTCTCCTCCTAACATACATGTTACTAATCGAATCATTTTATGTAAAGCAATTCCTCTATCAATAACTAATGATGGTTGCCATAAACATGACATTCCAGTGTACATTTCTTTATCCATTAACCAAAATGAAATAGTTTTATCTCCAACCAATGCTTGGTCATGACACTCTGCATAAGCAATAGCTTTTTCTTTCCATCTTCTATTATTTAATACAAATCCAATATGGTTTACATTCCAATCTTCATCTTTCTTTGTTTTTAAATATTCTATCCAAAGATCTGGACATGACATAGCAAGTCTATAATCAAATCCAATTCCTCCATCCTCAAATGTTCTACATAATCCTGCATATCCTGATACATCTTCAGCTATAGTAACACAATTCATACTTTTTCTATGAACAAGAATATTAACTAATGACAAATAAGTTAATGCATCTTCATTTGCATTTGGACCAAAATAATGTGCATAATCAAAAGTATGTGCTCCAACACCGTGATGAGTATAAATCATAGAAGTTACTCCATCAAATCTAAATCCATCAAATCCAAATTCTTCTGCATAATACTTAACATTAGACAATAAAAATCTTAATGTTTCATAATTGTTGTAATTAAATAATCTTGATCCCCATAATGGATGTTTTCCTTGTTCTCCTGGAAGTAAATAATGTCCATCACTTCCATCAAACATATTAATTCCATCAACTACATTTGCAGATGTATGTGAATGAACAATATCTAATAATACAATAATTCCTTCTTTATGACATTCATCAATTAAATATTTTAATGCATCAGGTGTTCCAAATCGTGATGATGCTGCAAAGAAATTTGTAACTTGATATCCAAAAGATGCATAATATGGATGTTCCATAATAGCCATTAATTGAATCGCATTATATCCAACTTTTTTACAATATGGAACAATTCTTTCTCTAAATTCATCATAACTTGCTATTTTCTTTTCTGGTGTACAAATTCCAACATGACTTTCATATATTTTTAATGCACTTGGAATTTTTGGTTTTGGTGATGTAGGATTATATGGATGTTCTGGATTATAAACAACAGCTTCCATTGATGATGTCTTAGGATTAAGAACACAATATCTATGATATGTAGGAATTCTATCTAATCGTTCTCCAGAATATGTGATACCAAATACTTTTATTTTACTTAAATGTTTAATTTTAGATTCTCCATTTTCATCTGGAATAAACCCATTGTGTGTTCCAAATTCATCACGAGTTAATTTAATAGCTGTGGCTCTATCCCAATTATTAAAATCTCCAAATAAATACATTTCTTTAAAATTAGGTGCCCATTCTCTAATACTCCATCCTTCTACTTCTTTTCCATTTTCTTTTTGTACTGTTCTATTTAATCCATATCGTTTGTATGAATTAGCAAATTCTTCTAATGATCCTTCATTATGTTCTATTTTTGAAAGAACATCAAGTGTTTTCTTTTGTCTTCCATAAATTGTTGCAGCAAATGGTTCAAGATATGGATCATCTACAATCATTTGTAATTTTGTTGACATCTTTAAATTATTTATGTTTATTATTTTCTAGATTTAATTAAATAGTTAGTGTCTATTCATATCCTTTTCTTTTTTCTTTTTTTTTTAATTTAAATACTACTGTATTCATTCGTTAATCTGCGATTCCTATCCCAAACATCAATTACTCTCTTCTACTGTTTAATAAAATCTTTTGAAACTAAAGGCAGTTTACTCTTTGGTTAAAGAACTTTATCTTTTTACAAAAAAATTCACATTATATTTTTCCTTTATTAACCAAATATTTGTTTGTATTTCTAAAAATTACTTACGTGCCTCTCTTTTCAAAAAATTGACATAGTGAAATTAAAAACCACAAATCAAAAAAAAACGAAAGTTCATTGAGAATTTTCATAGAACTATAAAAACTGAACTAATAATATATATTATTAATTTACTATTTTTTATTAAAAATAAAAAAGTTTGATGTTTCTCTTCATTTATAATTCTTTTTAATATATTTTTTAATCACAAATCAAATCAATCAATTAATAACCTCTTTCAAATAAGTAGTTAGCAGCAACTTCTTTATTTTTATTGCTTACAATATATGCTTCAGTTGCCACAGAACGTGAAAAACCTAATTCCATTAAGTCAGTAATATTCTTTTGATCTTCTGAACTTAAATTTTCTTTTTTTGGTAAATTAGATTTTTGTTGATCACTTTTAGGTGCTTTTGGAGGTTTTGAATCAGTTGTTGAGAGTTGACCTTCTTCTTCACTCATTTCATCTTCAGAGTTCAAAGACATTGATCCTTCTTCACTCATTTGATTATTTACATCTAAGAGTTGGTCAACTTCTTCTCTACTTAATGCACCTGATTGAATAAGTTGTTCTATTTCTTCTGGTGAAAGATTCTCTCCAAAACTTCCTAACCCATCATCATCTATATCTTCTCCTATTTGAAGGTTTTGCAGTAAATAATTCATTGCTAGTTCTGGATCTTCTCTCATTTGTTCAGCCAATTCTGGATCTTCTTCTTCAACTTCATCAATAATTTCATCTAATTCTTCTGGAGTAATTTGAATTTCAATTGGAGGTTCTTGGACCATTTCATTTTGAGTTTCTTCTGTTGGTTGAAACATATCAAAATTTTCAAGTGGATTTCCTTTTAATTCTGAAAGAGCTTTTTCTTTATCATTATTAGATTTTTTAAGAGCATCCCTAATATGTTCTTCATCATATCCTTGATTTTTTAATTCTATAACCAAATTTTCATCAATAACAATATCGTTTTCTTTTTTCGTTGGTACTTCTGGATTAACTAATGGTTTCTTTTCGTTTGGAATAGGTTTAAGGATTTTTTTTTCATCATTAGAAGATTCAGTAATATTAGCTTTTGTTGGCTTTTTCATGACTATCATCACAATGTGTTCTCCTTCAGCATACCCAATTTTGTCTAATGTCTCATCATTATTTTTTAACATTTTTGATTTAAAACAGAGGGCAATTGAAGAAATTTCTATTCCTTCTTGTTTTGAAATTAATTCTTTTAAATAACCAATAGTAGACGTTGGTTCAACATCAAATGTGAATAGTTTCTTTGAGATAGTTGTCACAGTTATTTTCATAAATTAATTAATGAACTTTGTTTCTTTTTCTTCTTTTTAGTTTTTGGATTGATTATTTATTTATAGAATAGGGTTGATTAAAATACACATTTTTTTATTGTTAGTTTCAGTAATTTCTCCTAAGATTTTAACAAAACTAAAGACTCATCAAAATTAAAAAAAAAATGAGATATAAAACATAAAAAAAAAACATAAAAAATAAATCAAAAAAAAACAAATTAAATTTAAATGACTTGGTTGCTTCATGAAACAGTTGTCAATCCACAAGGAGTTGAACATTCTATTATTGCTAAATTTACTGGTAAATATGAACAATTAATCACAAGTATTCGTAATCAATTTGTGTGTTATGATATTACTCCTCAAGGACTTCAAGTTCGTTGTAAAGAAGTTACTGAAGCAAATATTATTCAAATAGGAAATGTAGAAGTGAACCATGTAATGATGCTAGTTTTATTATTTAAAGAAGCTAAAGTGTCAGTACTGAGATATGATGAAACAAATAATAAATTTGTTATTCATTCATTACATTGTTTTGAACTTCCTCTTAAAAGAATGCAAGAAGGATTAACACCAACAACATATACTGATCCAAGACTCTTAATTGATAAAAGAGGGCGATGTATTAGTTTAATTTGTTATGATAGATTAATGTGGGTTATTCCATTAGGACTTGAGTTTGTTCTATTATTTTTTTTTTGAGAATAAAAATATAAGTTATAATAAAAGACATTAATAATTATTAGCAAAACATCATATTCTATTAACTTAGAGAAATTTGGGATTAATAGAATTATTGACTGTATTGTTTTAGATGGGTATGATTTACCGTCAGTAGCTTTTCTTCATATGAAAATACCAACATGGGAAGGGTTTGTTAATAGTGTTATTAATTAAAAGAAGGGTTTGTTAATAGTTTTATTAATTAAATAGACGAATAGTAAATACAGGAGAAACAACTAATGAGATTATTATACTATCATTAGAACCAGATGTTATTCATGAAAGACAAGATATTGTTGCAACAATATCATATCAATTTTCATATGTTCCTTATAATGCATTACAAATTGTAGATTGTTATCCAACAAATGGACTTCTTATATTAACAATAAATAGTATTATTTATTTATCAACAACATCGTTTGAGTCATTCATTCTTCCTTTTGGAAAGTTTTTTGTAATACCAAAAAATATAAATGGACCATTATCTTCATTTCAAATTCTTCAAATGCAAACAAAAATTATGAACTCAGTTAAATCAATATTTAAATTAACAAATCATCTTTATATTATATTTTCTATGAATGGAGAAAGTTATTATGTTCATTTACTTTCTATTGCAAATAGAATTTGTGATGTAATCATTACTAATTCTCCATATAAATATCACCCGACTACTTTTACTATTTCTTCAAATCATTTATTTATTGGAAGTACAGTTCATGATAGTTATATTTATAATTATGAAATTGTTGAATATGGAAAAGGTAAACAACATGAAATATCTCAACATATTAACCAAGAAATTCGTTCCAAAAATTTATTATTTAGACATAATGAAATGGAAGAAGAATATCCTTTTGATGAACCACAACCAGTTTCTATTCCACAAGAATTAACAGTTGAATTCCCACAATTAGATTATATTGTTTCTATTTGTAATGTACATGAATATACTTTATTAGAAGAAGAAAATAATATGATTTCTATTGTTTTATGTTGTGGGATACAACCATTTAGTAAAATTGTTAAATTATCAAGAAGTATTCAACCTGAAAATATTATGGGAGTTAAAGAATCAGAATGTTTTTATAAAAATGATAATATTGAAGTAAATAAAAATGGAATATTTTTAAATTCAATAAATATTTGTTCTACAGAAATTCTTGGAAGTATTAAAAGAGTTAAAAAAGAAGATGATTATTTAATTATTGAAAAAAGTGATGCTAAATGGTGTGTTTTTGATATTAATAAAAAAGAAATTATAATACAAGAAGAAGGTATTAATGAATTATCTTTTCTTCCTTCTTCTAATGAAATGGAAGAAGAAGGAGAAGGAAATAATTTTATTAAATTAAAAAATGGAAAAGTATATAAAGGAGAAATGGTGTTAGAAGGAATTGGAGAAAGAATTAGTCAATGGGTAAAAGAAGAAACAAAAAAAGGAAAAGAAGTAGTAGATATTGAGTGTGTATCAATTATAGAAGGAAAAATTGATTTAATAATAATAACAAAAGAAGGAATTTTATGTTATTATAGATCAATGAATGATAAAGGGAAATTTGAAAGATTAAAAGTTGAAGCACCTCAAACATTTAATTGTAGTATTAAACCACATATTAATAGGATAGAAATAAATAATAAAAAGCATTATTTAATTAATGGAAATTGTTCATATTTTATTGAATATAATTATTATTATCCAATAGTTATTCCATTTAGTATTAAAGTAATAAAAGAAGTAATAGTTTTAAATAATTTTACTTGTTATTTAGACACAGATGATGGTAAATTAATTGTTAAATTAAATAAACAAAATATTGATAAATATCCACTTCCATTTACTAGAGTTGATATTCAAGGAACACCACATCATTTAGTATCATATAAAAATAAATTATTTGTTACAGTATCATTTACTACTGTATTAGATACACCTGATTGTCCACCTCAATTACCTCATTCAAGTAATAATCAACAAGAAGAGCCACCAGTATTAGAAGCACAACCATTAAATTCAGATGTGTTATTAGAACGTTATAGAATAATAAATTTAACAACCAATGATTATTATGAATTTAAAAAAGGTCAATTCATTTGTACAGCAAAATTATTAAAATTTAAAGTTGGAAAACAACTTAAAAATTATTTAGTTGTTGGAGTTAATAAACAAACAACAGAAGATAATCCTGTTAAAGGAAAAACCTATATTTTTAATATAGAAAATCAAATTCAATTAATTAATAAAATTGGAGATGGAAAAAAGTCAGTTCATGCAGTTAATGAAATAGGTGGATTTCTTGCTGTAGCATCAGGAAATGAATTAGAATTAATTGAACGAGTAGATGAAACAAGATGGATAAAGAAATGTTTTAGTGATATTTCTATATTAATTAATTCAATTGAATATCTTCCATTAAAGGTAATGGAAAGAGGAAATGAAAAAGAATGTTATTTAATATTATTAAGTGATTTTTATAGATCAGTAGTATTATTATTATTTAAACCATATGACTATACTGTTATACCTCTTGGTAAAGATGCAAGAAATATTCATTGTATTGATTCAACTTTTATAATAACAAAAGATTATTTCTCAGTACTTGAATTTGATTCAGAACAAAATTTAAGTTTATTAAATTATAGTTCAGCTGCAACAGAACAATTATCAATATTTGAAATTGATGCTACATTTAATCTTGGAATGAATTTATTAAAATTTACAAGACTATGGAATGGAAAAGGTTATATTTATATGTATGTAACTGTTGAAGGAAGTGTTGGTTATATTTCAGTTGTTGAAGAAAAAATATATCAAGTATTAAGACAAATTAATATAAAAATGAATAGAGAACCATGGCATTTTGCAGGAACAAATGCAGAAGAATATAGATTTGAAAAAGGATATGGAATGGGATTTGGAACAAGAAAACATGTATTTTTAGATGGAGATATGTTAAAACAATTTAGATTATTAAATGAAGAACAACAAAAAAGAGTCTGTTTAAGAAATACATCAATTAATGATGTATTTAAATTACTTTCAACAGGACTACAATACAATACATTTTTACAATATAATAATTGAATATTATTGAATTATTATTTAATTAAATTAATTTACTTTTAAATTCTTAAAAAAGAGAATTTAAATTAAGTTTTTTTAATTGAATTTAAAGAGATTTAAATTCATTTTCAATATCTTCTAATATTGATTTTAGATTATTTAAACCAAAGAGAAAACCATCTTCAACAGTACATTCTTCTTCACTTAAAATCCAATTATGAGCAAAGTCAATCATTTTACAATTATATTTTTTATCTTCTAATGTTGTTGTACTGTCATAAACAAATAATACAGAACTACTAAACATTTTGTATTCTCTTTTTTTCATTACTTCAATCATTTTATCAAGTTGTGAAATAAAATATGGAACAAGTTCTTTTCTATACTTCTTTCCATCATTAAAAAATAATTTAATATATTCTTTTAATGAGTCTCTTGTATTTACTTCATGTGTACATAAATATCGTGAATATAATATCGGTTTTTCTTCTCCTATATTTCTTTCCATTCCACTAAACCTAACACCAAGTGAGGTAGTTGTAGATGTTGAGTCAACAACTAATCTTTTTTTCATTTTACTTGATGCTGTTTCTGGATCCCATGTTTGTGTTCCAATTTTTAAATCAAGTACAAATGGTCGTTTGTATTTATACATTAAATTTTCCATTCTAATAAATTCAAGTTCTCCAAATCCAAATTCATGTAATTCAACTCCATAAAATTTTGGTATAATTCCTGTCCCAGTCCATTCTTTATCATCTTTAATATGTAAATAAAAATCTCGTTCTCTATGAGACAAACATGGCTTTAAAAGATATTGTCCATCTGGATGAAGTTGTTGTGGTCCTCCATGACCTCCAGCTTGAACCCATTGGGACTTCTTTGTACTCATGTGTTCTCTTTTTATTTTTGTGTTCATCTTTTTATTTTTTTTGAATAGTATTAATTATAATATTATTATTATTTTTATCTACTATTTATTATTTTTATAGTTCTATCATTATATTTTGGAAAAATATTAGGGTTGTTATTAACTTCTCTTATTTTTTCATAAAAATTATAATATTTCTCTTTCTTTTGCAACTTTTCTATCTTTCTTCTTTTACTCTTTTTTATAACTTATTTTTACTTCATTAATACTTCTGTCTGGTTTTTTAATTTGGAATTAAAAGAAATGGAGTTTTAAGAGTCATTGCAAAAAATTAAACAAAACAAAAATTAGGATATAAAAATAAACTAGAGTCTTATTGTCTCATAATTTACAACACCACAAATTTTTATCATAAAACAATTTCCAACATTAACTACTTTATAACCATTATCATATGAGTAAATGCGTCATTGGTTCATTATTCATTTATCTCATATTCACTCAATTTTGTTATAATAAGTATATTGATTATTCAATTTTAATTATTGTTATAGAATTAAATGATATAAAATAATTGAAAATTAATAACTAGGTTCATAATGTATTTGGGTTTTACTTCATTTTTGTCTTTTATTTCTATATTTTTTCATGACTATTGTTAGTTATAATATTTTTCATTAAAACACCATTCTTTTTAAAAATAAAGTATTGAAATTTAACAATTAATATTAAACTCATAACTATTTGTCTTTAAGTTTGCTTAATATTAATAAATGATAATCTAATAAATATTAATCAAATACATTATTTAAAGACATAAACTATCTTGTATTGGTCATAATAAATCACAAATGGAAAAACATGACAATATCGGCATTATAATATGGGAGGGATTAATAAGAAGATATACATGAAATGAACAATACAAGAAGTACTATATGAAACAGTGTTACAATATAAAGACATTACAATGATATTGAACAAACGAATAATGCATAAAAATGAATGACAATATCACAAAATACCAGATATATATGTATTAGATAAAAAGAACCAAACTGGTTTATTATTTGATATGACTAATGTTGAATATCACAATATTAATTGAGTGTGTTGGAAGAAAAGAAATATGTATAAGGAATTAAAGAATAGGCTAATGAAAATAGAGAAATTAAAAGATGACAGAATAATTCAAGTAGTAATTTCAATAAATGGATTAGTGAATAAAGAAAGTATCAGATTAATTAAAGAATTAAAAATTGAAATTGACTTCATTAAAGAAATTAAAAACCATTTCATGAAATCCATTAAGAATTGAATTGAATATTAAATCTAAAATAATAGAATATACTCTATAGAACTTGGAAAATATGAAATGATTTAATTAGTCTCCACCGAGGCAAGAAT